GTAGCTAAAAATAGACAACAGTCATCGTTACATATCTGAACAGCCAGTAAGCGCTATTTATAGCTGAATTGTCATCGCTATTTATAGGTTCATTGATACGTAATAGCTAAAAATAGACAACAGTCAGCCCTACATAGCTAGACAACCAGTCAGCGTTATTTATAGATTAGCAGTCAGGGTGACATGGCTGATAGATCATGGTTTATGTGTAGTTATTGTATAACTGAAAGTGACAATGACTGATAACCCAAATATTATAAACGCTATCTCGCAGTCTTTATGAGCCTCTGACGGTGTATAAAACTGACTTATTGTTGGTCTCGGTATTGGGTCAAGTTTCTTTCCATAAACAAGGAAGTATTCGTGCATGGCAGATTCAACATCCTTAAACGTTTGAATTGAATGTCCTTGTTTACGCAGTTCTTCATTAATAAAATCTAATCTCAACATCCTCTGTCTGGCCAATTGTGACTGGGCTGCTTCGAGTTGTTCTAATGCTTTATTATGTCGTTTATGCTCCTCTTCAACTTCTTTAGTGTTTGATTCCCTCAGAGTAGAAAATAAATAATTACTCCCCGAAAAAGCTAGAGCATGAACAATAGCTCCACCGACCATCATCGCAATTGTTCCATATTTATATGAATATAAAATATTCAAATGTGTAATTACTTCATTATGTCTTCTGGGATAAGCCCTTGTTTGATGAGCATATCTTTTGTTGCCATTGCCAATCCAATATCAAGAACCATCATACCGATATCATAACCATTAAAATCTAGCTTGGGTGGTGTGGCTTTAGTAATCATTTTAGCTATACGGGCATAGCCAATGGCCAAGCCGCTGACCACTGCTGAATGATACGTTGCTTTTACCAACATTTTACCGTCTGAAACTGGAGTAGTCATTATAACATTATATGAGGGCTTACCTCTAATTGAACTTCTTGTGTAATCGAGGGGGACGTTTTCTCTTCTCCGGTCTTATAAAACAACCTTACCACCGCTATAGCAACAACTCCTAGTGCATAGGGAGCCCAAGTTTTAATCGGACGACTATGTTCAATATTTGAATTATGCATTAGTTTCGCCTTCCTCGCTAGCCCACCCTTTCTCCCAGCTGCGATTTTCAAAGGATTCTTTGTCACTCTGGCTTGTGATTTTGCAATCGCTGGTATTTCCTCATTCACTTGTTATGATTTCAAAATCGGGGTTATTACCTCGTTCACTTGTTGTGATTGTGATTCCACAATCTGTGATACAATCGGGGTTTGTACTTGTTGCGTCTCCACAATCTGTGGTGTCACTTGAGTCTCAATTATTAGTAAGTGGGCACTTATGTTTAAATTGACAATACCTAGCCGTTATTAAAGCGGTTGTCACCGGAGCTAAGAACATTCCGTATCTATGATAAAACTCACAGCTCACTGCGCTTATAGTGTGTTCGATGAATGGGTCTTTCTCGAGAGATTCGCATAAATACGGGCGATGTTTTGTCGGGATACGGAGAAACGTACTAGCTACGACTGTGTATAGTTGTAACATAGCCGAACCTATTGTTTTAGTCATGGTAGCTCCCAGTCTAGACTCCTAACGCGCGTACAGTTTTTATACCCCGCCGGGCCAGAATGGCCGAAGGGGGATTATGTCATGGCGCAGTCCGTCCGTCTGTCTGTCTGTCTGAATCGTTTCCGGAGCAGAACTCGAAAACCGTTAAATATTTCTTCATCAAACTTTGCAGTTATATCACTTAAGTGGTGAAGTTGTGCCTTTTGCTATTTTGGAATTTTTCCAATTTTTCTATTTTCCAATTTTCATAAAAGCATGCTGGACACGGGCTAACTTTGTGAGTGATGTTTGTTTCCGGAGCAGAAATCCGAAACTGTTAAAAATTTCTTCATCAAACTTTGCATTGATATCACTTAAGTGGTGAAGTTGTTCCTTTTGCTATTTTGGAATTTTAGAAATTTCTATTTTTTACGTTTCCATGGCAACAAGTTGGACTTAGGTTCTATAAAGGGTGGTGTTCATTTCTGGAGCGTAACTCAAAAACCGTTAAATACTGTCTTACAAAACTTTGCATGTCTACCAGGCACATACTGAACTGGTGCCTTTTGCTGTTATTTTTTATGTTTCCATGGCAACAAGTTGGATTTAAGTTTTAATATAGGGTGGGTTCACTTATGGAGTATAACAAATAAACTGTTAAATATTTCCTTGCCAAACATTGCATGTCTATATATATATATATATAAAGCACATACTGAACTGGTGCCATTTGATATTCAGGAGTTTTAGAAATGTTTATTTTAGAATTTCCATTGCAGCTATTTTGACATTGGCTAAGAGAAATGTTTGGTCAAACCTGGTTTGGGACCATAATGTGTTAAAATGGGTGGGGGATATAGATGACTTTGTTGACTTTACGCTTGTTTAGTTATTGTTCCTTGTAACTTGTCATTTGTTTGCATAAAAAAACAACACAGAAACACACTTGTTTTACTTTCCATTTCATATGGATGAGACCATGGTGGATCTTTTGTGGGTAAACAATGTATGCTTCTTCAAGAACATTCAACTCTTGACTCATTACATACAGAATTGCACATTTACTTGTTGCTACTTTACAGACAGCTACCGGGGGGACATGTCATCTTTCTGATGACTCTTGTTTCTGATGACATAAACAGTGTTTCCGTTCTCCGGTATATGCCGGCTTTTGGCCGGTAAAAAAAGGCAAAGACCGGTAAATGTTTAGTGTGACGGTCCCAGTGTCCGGTAGAAAGAATGTAAGAAAAAAATAACTTCAACTGAGTCTCTGTCTTCAACAAGGTGTTAAAACTTTGTTCACTCAACTCTAAAATCAGTCCGTGTTTCTCTTCCACACAGAAAGGAATTCCCAGTTTTCTAAAAATAAACTGGACTCGACTCGTTTCATTTCATTCAGATTGCATCTTTATAACTTTGGTATCTAGACACAACAAAGCTATAGTAATCAAGTAACAGATTTAATCGATATTTTCCGAATGATTTCAGAACCATATGCACACACATGCGCAGTGATGACTTCACATTGCACCATTGCCATTGCCATATTTGCATATCACTATCACGTGACTGAACTTTTTTTGTGTATTTGTTAACAAACACGCTTATTCTGGAAACAGAACAGACTGGCCTTATGCAAGCCTTTGGTTAGCTTTAGATATTGTTTTTTTAAAAATAATATAGATCTAGATATGCTACCACAAAAGCGAAAAGTGCATGACAAAACATTTTTGGGCTCTATGTGCTGTCATCGACACCTACGGAGAGCTATTGCAATGCGGTCACTTTAATGTGTAAATATGTATTGTCATGCAACTCACTGTCGCAGTTGTAGTATGTATATAATTATGCAAAACAATATGTAAAGCGCCCCCAAATACTTGCATTAGTCTGTTCCTTTCCATTTCTGAAAAAGCATGTTGGTTTACAAACAAGAGAAAAGTCCAGTGACGTGATATGCAAATTAGCCTGTGGCAGTGGAGCTATGCTAAGTCACCACTGCGCCGGAGTGGGATCCAATGTGAACAAAGAATAAATATGCAAATAGTAATAGTTTTTCATGTTTCATGATATTTTCTCAATGAAACTTACTTACACAATCTAAGACATATGTTTATCTAAATAGATAGGCTCGTCAAAAATGAAATAGATAAAATACACAATATTTCAGAAAGACAATCTGAATCTCGGCATGATAAGTCAACCTGCGACTCATTGCAAAGATTGCTAAAAACACCAGGAGAAACTGAGCAATCGTTTATTGACAACATCACAAACGGCGTATTTCGTGGTGTGAAAGTTGCAGATGCACGTTCGGTGCAGGCTTTTCAAAATTCACGTGCAGACTTCATCGATATATTTTGCAGTACACAACATGCCAGATTTCCTGAAGACAGTCTGTCTACCCTTACTTGTCTTGACAAAAAAACCAATCTCACTTCCCAGATTTACGCGAAGAATTGAATAACTATAGAATAGATTCCCAAAATAAGCTGATTACCCATTTCAGTCCTGTGATTGGTCCAATAGATAATGACGTCACATATATCATAGATGGCGACCGGGCCAATCGTGATTTCGCCAGCTACAAAACTACAGTTGTGGGACTTGGTACACACACACTTCAACAGAATTGTCGAGTTATCATGGCTGATTATGAGGATATTTATCCAGATTTTGCTGTTATCGCAGCTGTAGCCATGACGATACCTGTCAGCAACGTACCAACCGAACGAGGCTTCAGTCTACAAAACCGCATTCATACTGCAAGTCGTAACCGACTTTGCCAGCGAAGATTAAATGATCTTGAACATGCATTCTGGTGAAAAAACACCTTCCTGCAGCAAATCTACAGTTCAGAAATAAAAAAGAGAAAACTCTGATCAAAAGGTATGTTTTTACACTGTAAGATTGGGGACCGTCCGAAAATGATAAGGACTGGTATATGTTTAGTCGGCCGGTCAGATGACTGGCGGACAAAAAAGCTAACAGAAACACTGGACTTTGTTGAGAATTTATTGAAAATCACACCTAAAGGTATGCCCTCCACCGTACTGTCCAATAAAGAGGCATTAAGGAGTAATGCAGGATAAGTTTTAAAAATCTAGTAAAATCTAGATATTTTTTATATTTGTATACTTATCCTGCATTGCTTGGTCTAAAGTGGCCCACCCATCGCAGAGCTGCCTCCCCACGATGCGTTGAGATGTTCCGTATTAGTAGTTATGTGCTGTTCATTTACGTCATCACTTCCGTGGTCATGTTATACATGTAGCTGTGTGATGGGATTAGCCACACAACTAGTTGGAACAACTTCTTCTTCAGCAAGGTGAACTCCCTGTCAATCTGAAGCTCAGGGTAAACACAAATTTCAACATTCATTTTGGACAGGTCAGCAAAATTGCATAATTTAAAAAAAAATTAATTTGATGAAGCATCACTGTTCTTCTTATACAGGTGGTGTGCGAGAGGCTCTTTTTGGAGATGAATATTATCACGTCATGTGGGCAAAAAGAACTGGATTTGCCAAAGTTGCTTTGCAAGCTAACGTAGTAAGTATTTTTGATAGCAGATATGATACTTGGAAACTTCAGAGTGAGTATAAGTCTGCAGTCTGTGAGGAAGGTCTCATTGGAGAAAAAATATCAAATTGACACAACTTTGGACAACATATTTTGTTATCAAACATGTATTTGTACATTGTACATTGTACATTTGGACATTTGTACAGTTGTACATTTGTACATTGCCACTCCATCCTCTCATGAACTAATCCTGCAATGACAACAATATGTTCATGCACCTGCTCCTGGCCAAAAGGCCATATTGTTCTTCCTTCATCAGGCATTTTGAAATACATTAATTGTAACTCCACCTCTAGAATACAAAAGCCTTATTCTCATGTCAAGGAGACTTACAGGAGTCTGTGTTTTGTTCACTGGGTTACTCCCCTATCTTAATTTGTTTATTTTGATATTTGAGTAAGGCTACTACACCAAGACATGACAGGGTGTTCTATGTGTACATGTCTACCAAGGATTATCTTCTCACCTGTACCAAGTGTAGTGACAAGGAGTGATATGATATAACTAAGTCACGATACAATACATATTGCGATGTGCATATTTACATCAAATCACATGGAAACTTCATCACAATAAAAGGGGACAGGGGTAGGTTGCTGGGATGTTTGACTTGTCTGTGTCAGTTGTACAAGGGTAGGTTGCTGGGATGTTTGACTTGTCTGTGTCAGTTGTACAAGGGTAAGTTGCTGTGATGTTTGACTTGTCTGTGTTAGTTGTACAAGGGTAAGTTGCTGGGCTGTTTGACTTGTCTGTGTCAGTTGTACAAGGGTAAGTTGCTGTGATGTTTGACTTGTCTATGTCAGTTGTACAAGGGTAAGTTGCTAGGATGTTTGACTTGTCTGTGTCAGTTGTACAAGGGTAAGTTGCTGTGATGTTTGACTTGTCTATGTCAGTTGTACAAGGGTAAGTTGCTAGGATGTTTGACTTGTCTGTGTCAGTTGTACAAGGGTAAGTTGCTGGGATGTTTGACTTGTCTGTGTCAGTTGTACAAGGGTAAGTTGCTGGGCTGTTTGACTTGTCTGTGTCAGTTGTACAAGGGTAAGTTGCTGTGATGTTTGACTTGTCTATGTCAGTTGTACAAGGGTAAGTTGCTAGGATGTTTGACTTGTCTGTGTCAGTTGTACAAGGGTAAGTTGCTGGGATGTTTGACTTGTCTGTGTCAGTTGTACAAGGGTAAGTTGCTGGGATGTTTGACCTGTCTGTGTCAGTTGTACAAGGGTAAGTTGCTGTGATGTTTGACTTGTCTATGTCAGTTGTAGTAGGGTAAGTTGCTGTGATGTTTGACTTGTCTATGTCAGTTGTACAAGGGTAAGTTGCTGGGCTGTTTGACTTGTCTATGTCGGTTGTATTTTGGAGTTCAAGTGATAGACTACATTGAACTACAGTTAACCTTCTCATCTCTTTCAATCTTAATAATGTCATTTTAATCAGTAGCAAACATTCATGTATCATTGTGAATTGAGATATGCAGTAAATAGGTGGTGTGCTCAGTGACATGTGTTTCCTTTAATTCAATTATTTAGACACATTTTCATAGTTTCCTTTCCTCTGCCCATTGAAATAGCTGTCTTATTTTACAACCAGACTATACACGGGATTCTACACAGGCCTCTTTTGGTTGTTGTCATTCTAATCTGTACATAATGCCTTCAGCAGGGAACTAGCCTTTGACAGATTATACAAGCAAACTGGCAAGCAATACTTATTGTTTGCAATAACTTGGTATTTGTGTGCTGCTTAGGATGATTCAGTACTTTAGTAGTTAAACAATGTAGACAATGTTATTTAAGAGATTGTTTTTCATAGTTGGATTGACAATAATTACTTTAAGGTTCATTTCCTTTGACACCCTATATTAAAAGTCCCAGCTTACTTGACATTAATATATTAACTGCTTTTTCAATAGAAATATTTATTGCAATTTTTTGGCTCATACAAAGTAATTTTGGTTTTATGCTGAATTGACTTAGAACATTGGGATGCTATTTTATGTATTAAAGGGCAGGTAAATGATGTCTTTGGGGTAGAAATAGACCTAAAGAGACGTCATTACCAAAAAGAGGAAGTGACGTCAGAACAGGTAATCGGTATTATAACTTACCGGGGGTATATATCCAGGTTCATTATGGTCAAAATCAGCAAATATAACGGTAAATCTAGTGATAATATCGCATATTTGACTGATTATCGACTTAGTTTCTGATTTTTAAGTCATCAAGGGGAATTTCAGAGGAAATTATCTCAGTAGGATTAGAATCAGTACAATATAGTTTCCAGAAGAGGATTGCTGTCAATTACACAGGGAGTTACTAGAGGCGGATCCCACCGGGGTCCCTTTGGTATATTCTGGCAGAGATGTAATCGAGGTAGAAGTTCTGTAAGAATTATCGAACAATAGTTATCATTGCTTATAATTCTAAGAATACTACCTCTATTACTCCCTCCCACCTCCCCAATTCATCTGCTTTTAGTAGGAGATGAGGGAAAAAAGTGAGGCTGCCGCCATTATGACATCATGGCCTGGGTCGTTGCGAGACTACTTGGCGACAACTAGTTGTGTGTAATTGACAGTGAAAAGGACGTCTGTTGAAAATCTGAAAATTTTAATTAGTGTGATTGAAGCCAAAATAAAGGATTTACCGTATTTTCTTGAGTATAGTGCGCACTTTTTTTCGAAAAAACACAGCTGTGTAGGAGGGGGTGCGCATTATACACGAATTATGAGTTTGGATGTTTTTTTCCCCCATGGAAAGACATTACCGTGAGCACGAAACACCGGAAATACCATGTCAACAAATCCATACTGAAGTACACAAAATAATCATGTAATTACACTGTCTGGCTATAAAAAGTGTTCTTTGTATATCTGGACTTATGTTTGTAACTTATTTCATTGATTTTATTCAAAATTCCTTATAATATTGTTTTTATTAATTTCTGCGAAATCGTGTGTGAAGCGATCGGAAGATCGCACAACTCACCGTTATTAACAGCAACCACGGTCAGAATATCGCTATTGACGCCTTGAAACAAACTTTAGTTGACAGAGAATGGACACATATATCATAAATGACATACTTTGACTCGTTAAAAGTCATATTTGTTTTTGTTCGACGATTCTATGTCAACATGAAATTCTCGCTATCACGTGATTACGTGCGCGTGAGCCTTGACGGTGACTGGTCAGACATGTTCCATGTAAAAAATAATACCCGGGAATAGCGATCAGCTGCTTCGCTTAGGGTTATTATTATTTTAAATATGTTTAGTAAAGGTTGCATATAACTAAGAAAATAATGGAATATATTATTCCTGATAAATAAAATAGTTTCAGATACAAATGTTGCCGATCCTTGCATTAAAAATCTTATAAAGTTATATCATTTGGTGGGTCTTGACCGAATCACCGGTCGATTCCAAGAAAACGTGTGTACAGCTGATTGCTGTTTCCAGCTTAGTTTACGAGAAAATACGCAAGGTAATCTTAATCCCTAAATATAAAACAATGCCTAGCAGAACAATAAATACTATTTAATCGGTAAATAAACATGTTTGGTAATTTTTTTATCTCAAATTTCGAATTTGTACTGACGAAGTTTCTCATCACCCGTTCGTTTGCCGGACTTCGCTGAAAGGGTACGGTGTAATTTTTTTCTGCGCATAATATTCAAATTTCTTTTTTTTCAAAATATTGAACCCGCTAGAGGGGGGTGCGCATTATACACGGGTGCGCACTATACTCAAGAAAATACGGTATGGTAGTATTCTTAAAATTATTAACAATGATAACTATTGTTCGATGATTGTGGGTTCGAATTCCGGTTCGCCCCGATATGTTTCTCGGTTTGTCAGCACCATACCCGGGGTCGTGGGTTTCACCGAAGTGATAAACGTATGGGACCTGCATCACTTCGGGCTTTCCTCCCACGTTAAGCTGACATGCCATGATATAACTGGAATACTGTTAAAAGCGGCGTTAAACCCAACTCACTCACTCACTCACCGATCAACACAACAGCAAACTCTTCGTTCATCAAATCATTTATATGCAGTAAAATAATTTCCCAAATATATTTAATCAACATGATTAATATTGGTTTCAATTCATTTCCTGTTTTACATCTTGAACCATGTTTTGGACTACTATGCGATTACCTCCCTTACATACTGAATTTGGTAAACTATGTCTTTCCACTTGGTCAAGACGCATGTTGCTTCTGATGAAAAAGTATTATAACTGAATAACTAACATCATATTGAGAATGCGAATTCCCTTACTATTGTATGCGGGGAACTAAACGTGCCTATCTTGATATGAAGAAATAATTCAAATAATAAATTTCGGGGAACAAAACGTGGATCTCTTCTAAAAAAAGATGAAGAAATATAAATGTGACAAAATTAACTAAATATGATTCTCACAATCTTTTGCTATCAACCTATTAGCCCTATTTTGGCTAGCATTGTTTTGTCCTATTGCGACATCCTATCTTAAATAACATGTTCTACTATGTCCTACCTTGACAAGCTATAAAACGAAATTGTTCAATGTACGTCCTATCGCAATGACATATCAAACCAATCTGACGAATGAACGTTCTATCGAGCCGAGCTATCAAACCAAAGTGAACTTAACTGAAGTAAGTCTGATTTACCTCGTTTTGCACGTGCTTGGACAGCATGTGCCATGTCATACTTTTGTTTTATCCGAGAAGCAAGATGCTTTCCCGCTACCTGTTCCAGCTTAATATGTCTTCACACCATACCCCCTTCCATGATTGACTTCTGTCAATCATAGATTGTAAACTATCATCCTGAAATCTAATCAAGACCATTTGTTTCACTTGAAGATGTCCATTGAACATACTTTGTTTGCTGGTCTTTTCACTACTGACTGTCTTGTCTTAACATCAACAACAGGAACATGGCCATCTTTTCCTGGATAGACCTTCAATATTTTGCCAAGT